GTCGAAGGTTCGAAGCATCGCCGCGGAAAATGCGGTGAAAATTTCGCGTTACGTCAAGCACCGGATTTTCGACGGGAATTTATGCAGGTTAGTCGTCCCGACTTCGACTTCGGCTTTATGTTATTTATTCAAGTGCCCCAAGTAAAATAGGTTTCCATTAAATTTTTTAACGAAATATTGATAAGTTTAATGGAAAGCATCTTAGAATGTTCTATCTAATTTTTGAGGGAGTTTTTTAAGTAGTTTGGGCATTTTTACTGAAATATTCTTTTAAATGTAATTTACGTGTTGTAATTTTGTAAATAATTTTATAAATGTATAAATTAACGTAGAAATTACTTTGTCGATATAGTCATACACAGCAAAATTTGCTCCAAAAAATAATTAGTAACTTAAAATTCCTTTCATAACTTAGCCAATATTTTATCCATTACCATATGAATAAAGTATGTCTTACAATAATTATACACATATAGTATATGCAGTTATCTACTAGATTAAATCCTTGATATCTACATAAATTTTATAAATCTCATTCATTATTTTTCTTGGAAAGTTAAAAATTCCAACTATATTTTGCGTCACCTTTTTTAATGTAGTATAAGTAAACCTGAAGATAGATGTTGTTCTATGCATCATTAACTCCGAAATAGATCGTTCAGCCGAAGCTCTTCAACCCCTGCACATTCGCCGTGTCAACGTTTAACAATAAGCTCGTATACGAAACGAATGTATGGTGTAATAATTCGAAATCCGAGAGAGAGAGAGAGAGAGAGAGAGAGAGAGAGAGAAAGAGAAAGAGAAAGAGAAAGAGAGAGCGCGCGCGCATGCTTTTGTCTTTGGGGCCTCGCAGCAGGCAGAGAAATACAGTATCGTTCTATATCATAATTGCCGAGGAGCTGAGGCAACGAGTGAAAGGAATATTTAAGGACACACGTCGTTTCGAGGAACATTTTGTCCCCCATTTCCGGCTCGCCTGTACAAACTCGAAGCCGGTGGTTCAAGTTGCGTCAGACAACACGTGTGTACACGCGTATTTATCGCTCGTGTGTACCGCCTCTCACGCGTATATATACTTAGCTAACCAAAGAATAGGATTTCCATACCTGCGCCGTCCACTTCGTTTCTTTTCGCGAAATGCGGAGTGAAGTTCGTGAGGTGCTTATCGTGAAGTGCGTTAAGAGGGTTATTCCTCAACGTATGATGCGTATGATGCGTCGTTAATATGTTGAAGATTGTATCCTCGAAAGCTGTCTTGCACGCAAACCGCTTATACAGTTTATGTGAACTCAGATAACGCGTATTTAAGATGTAGATAAATGTACGATACAAAAAATAAATATCCAAATATGACTTTTACCAAAGCGATATATCATTTCTAGAAAGAAAATTCCAATATTCACTCGGCGGAGATATGCAAAGCGGCTTGATGGCTTGACGCCATTTTGAGACATAATTGTAAATACTTTGTGGAATTATGAATCTTTTTAGATTTAAAGTTTAATGAACACATTTTTGTGAGATGCATAGAATTTTCATGAATGACGATATACAATCAACAAATATTTCTATTTAAAACAGATTCTTTATAGCTTTTCAAGATACTATATGTATCTTGAAAATCATTTAAAGTAGATCATTAGTATTCGCCATATGCACATTAAAAGCAACACGTTTTGTTTAATTTAAAAAATTTCAATTTTTATTTCTTTACAATAGAGAAACGGATTCAACGGGTCCAAAAAAATTTGTCTTTGATATTTAATAATACCATGATTATATCATGCGAATTTATATTAAAATTTCTTTATAACAAATGTTTTGGAAAAATTTGACACTTCTCTTTGTATGGTTACCAATTAATTGATATTGGAACTTTAGCACGTATAAACAGGTCTCTTGAATAATCATAGCTATTCCCACAACACACACGTCAGAGGTATCCGAGGAAGACGCACTTCGACCGCTTCCTTTCTCTACGGATCTATGGAGGCGTCCCACAAAAAAAAAAAGAACCTCGAAGATCTCTTAGAACTCCGCTGGCACGTAATCCACCGACTTCGGCGACAGTGTACGACGAGTTGGCGATGTGTGATGCGCGAGCATAGAGAGAGAGAGAGAGAAGAAAAAAGAGAAAGAGAGA